GAAGCCCGAAGGCCCCCGAAGATGGGCCGAGGCACCGGGTCTGCACCAGGCGGCCCAAGGCTTCCTGCTGGGGCCCTGGCGGCCCTCCTGCCCCCCGAGACACCGCCACCCCCTCGGGAAGGGCCCTCACAACCCACTGGGCTGTCCTGAAGCCCCCTCGCTCCTCCTCCACCCCCTAAACGCCCCCCAATTCCCACCGGCTCCAGGCCAGCGGAGCACTGAGCCTGCGGCGCCTGCCTCCCCCAGGACGCATTAGGCAGGCTCCGCTGGTCAGAGCGGGCGAGGCTGTGGGAAAGCTGCTCACGGGGCCTCCCGTCCCTGGAGGGGAGCAGCCATGGAGCCCCAGCTGTGGGAAGAACAAAGGGGCCCGGGCAGCGCCCCTCTCTGCTCCCCGTGGTGGAAGGAGGTGCCGGAGGAGGGGGAGGGTGCTAGGAGACAGCTGGCGATGCCCCTGCTGGATCCGGCCTCAGGGCCTCGCCTCTTGCCCACGGAGCCCGGCCCCTTCTGCCCACCTCTGGCACCTGCCTCCTGGGCCCCGTGCTCAAGTCCAGAATAAAATCTCCTTGCCAGGCCGCGGGGCTCAGTGGCTGAGAGGCGACCTAGGCACCAGGAGTCAGGGTTCCATTCCCGCTCAGGGCACAGGCCCGGGTTGCGGGCTCCATCCCCAATGGGGGGCGTGCAGGAGGCAGCCGATCCATGATTCTCTCTCATCGTTGATGTTTCTATACTTTTCTCCCCTTCCCTTCCTCTCTCTGAAATCAATAAAAACAGATTAAAATTCCCCTTGGCCGTGGAGCTCAGGGGAACGGGCCTTGCCCCAGATCTGCTGACACGCCGGCCGGCGGCCCCACGCACCCAGCGAGGCAGCTGCAGAGCCGGGCGTCAGCCAGGGTGACCAGGAGGCCAGGCTCTCTCAGTTGCCTGTGGACTCGGACCTAGTCACCGTGCAGCAGGCCTATGGAGCCGTTTCCACTCGACCAAGGCCGCCCTGCTCGGGGGTTCTATGAGGAGCCCCCCACGGTCCCACCACATGGAACTGGGAACAGGATTCCGCCCCTTAAATGACATCATCACTAAGGGTGATGACGCTGGGTGCACAGAACAGGCTGT